AAAGTGCTGTACCTGTGGTGGAAGGTGCCACAGCACAGGAGATGAGAGCATAGCAAGGAAGTAACACCTGCATGGTTTCACTTCCTGGCTCCATCACTTCCTGGCTATTGGATCTCGAAGCAGAGGCATAACCTCTCTGGGCCTGTTTCCTCGCCTGAAAATGAGGTTACTAAAAGTGCCTCTCTGGTGGGTTCATCAAGAAGCTTAAATTAAATATTATGAAAATGCTTGGTGTACGCCCCGCACATAAGATGTACTCAATCAATGTTAGCTACAATCATGACCCTTAAGAAAGACAAAACAGTTTTGCTTAAAGTTATAATACAAATAAGGACAGACTAAGGAGACCGCCTTTCCCCAGAGGGGCTCCAGTCCAGGCCATTCTGAAGAGGCAAGGTGCTTCTCCTCCCTCAGACTCACGGGCCTACGTCACCTGCTGACTGGGAATAATGACTATACCTCACAGGGGTGTCATCACTGTTAAGGAAGAGGTCTCTACACCTTCTCTCCTGGGACCCCGGGGGAAAAGGGACGTTTTTAAGTAACAAAGCACATTGACCAGTAACACAGGTATGCTTATAGAGTTTACCTGTAAAAGACAAGTCAGAATACCTGGCTCGGAAGAGAATTTAGTGTCAGTTCAGAACGCCCCAGCTCGAAAAGCAAACCCACGGGTAGTCAGGAGGGCATGGGATGGTGTTAAGATACAGTTTTCAAGAGGTAAAAGCATGATTCTTGTGCAGCTATAAAATGAAACGTGGCAAAGATTATATTCGACTCATTATGTAATGAAGGAACCAGTAAGCTATTTAGAGCAGTTCAGAAAGCATTTGAAGAGTTAGGGGTTCCTAGGCAATCTAATGTTAGGACAAGATTGATAGGTTAGGTATATAACTAGTTAATGTCCTACAGGACCATCAACCGTAACCCTTGGGGTCGTCTTTTTCAAAAGGACAGAAACTATTCGTATTGATATCTCTACTGGACAAAAACCTACATGTTAACATGGAACTTCACCGAGTCTAAGGATAGCAAGAAGTAAATTTCTCTAGATAATCCCTGCAGGGATGGGGTGGGGTGGAGAAAATGGCATATTGCCACCATATGACATTGAAGGGTGTGCCGCCCACCTTTCTGCCTTCCATCCGAGTTTTGGACTTTTTTTTTTTAAACAATAGTAAATACTTACCTCACTTTACAAACAACCTTTCTCTTACATGATGCTTACAACAGCCCTACTGAGGCAAAAAGGGCAGAGAAAACTCATTTCCAGAGGAGAAAACTGAGTTACACGAGGAGAGAGAGAAGCTGGGCTTGGAGGAGAATCCCGTCTTCTAATTCCGAGTCTCATGCTCGTCCTGAAACTCCATCTCACCCTTGCCCTTCTCTGCTCCCCTTCGTTTCAGCCCCCCATTGCTCTCGGTGGCACTGTTCCCCTCTCAGACTTCCCTTGGGGTTCACTGAAGGTAAATGCTCGAGGAGGGAGGAGACCCTGCCACTCCCCACCCTTTGTATCCCAGGGGCTTCTGGTCTCATCCACGTCCTTTTAAGTCCCCGACACCATTCAGTTCCACAGCATTAGAGGAACCACACATCCTACTACCCCGAGCCAAAGAAAGTTGTTCAAACACTTTACCCTCCCCTCGGGAAAAAGGAGCGCTTGTCTTCTCAGCTGCTGTGAGCCACTTTGCCGTCGTTCATCTGAGACGGCATCCACATCAGAGAGACCCACTGTTTACAAACCGGAATATCTCATTGGAAACACCTGTTCTGGTTGACGTCTTCCCTTCCTCGATAAACAGGATGGTCATTTTCTGTATCAGGGAGAGCTGGGTCTGTCTGCCTCCTTGGTGAATGGCACGTAGCGGACAAATGTCTGTTTATTGTGTTAAACTGTCAGCCAGGAGACCGGCAGCAAGTGTGGCCTGAGGGCCCAAATCGGTTTCTTCCTCGCAAGGCCATTTAGTTTTCTCACCCACGGACTTCTGCTGTCATGGAAACTGTCCCACTAGCAGGATAGAGACTCAGCCCAACCCTGCTTCCTGCATCCAGTGAGAGAGGCAACATTTATAATCATGAAACAAAGTAGACAATAAGAAAGTATATGGGGTGTGCGGTTAGAAAAGTAGTTCCTCTGAAGTTGCCTAGAACTCTGAAGCTGGGAAAAAAAATTTTTTTGAGAACATCTGATTCAGAGTATGTTTATAAGAGGTATACTGACAACAGCAAACACTCGGTGCATAATAAGTGCATGCTAAGCCCTTTCCGTGCGGCAGCCCATTGAACCCTCTCAGTGACTCCAGGGGGCAGGGTGGTTCTTACTGGCCCCATGACACACATGAAGAAACAGACTCCACGAATCACTCACTGGCCCAAGTCCAACAGAAGAAAGGGACAGAACTGGGACGAAAATGCACACCTCTGACTCTGAAGCCTGGACCTCTTGACTTGAAACAGTTGCCTTCTCCTATCTCTCTTGCCTCTGTCATAAGCTAGCTCTTGGAAGGCGCTGGACGCCCCGGTCCATCCAGCGTCCACCATTTTTATTTGATCATATAATCCTTCCCACCTCCGCCATAAGCCACTTTGTAAGAGCCCACAGAACGAGGATTCCACGCAACAGGATATGGGCCACCCCGATCCAGGCCGGTTTTCTCATTTCCCAGAGGACCACCTTGGGCTGGGCAGGGAAACGACTCGCCTCTAGCTGCACAGCTAATAAATGTCAGAGTTGACACCATAGAGCCAGCGCCCCGACCCACGGGCCCGAGCTCGGCTGTACTGGGCCGCCTTGCATCTAAACCAAACCCTGAGCCAGCAGTTCAGCTCTCCTGGCCAAGCATCAGGACTAATCCCCTTGTAGGCTGGCTGTTAAATCCGACAGTCGTTAGAACAGTGCTCCAGTGGGCGGGGTGATTTGCCACTTAGGAAATTCTCCCGCATAGCTCTTCTGTTTCAGGCTTTGCTGCCTCCGGGTAAACCTAAAACCATCCAGTGATGAAGTCTGATTCATACATCATACACCTCCCCGCAAAACTTCAAATCATTTAAACGTGAAGTGTTATGGGATCGTTGTATTTCAGCTAGTAGAATCCAACGTGTCAGGAACAACAGGCAAGGTTTTCTATGCCAACAGCTTTAGGGAGCAAAGCATTCCACCCACGAATGAAAGTTCCCCAGCTCAGACCGAGACGGTGGTGAGCATCATCTTGGTTTTCCATTTTAACATGACTCTAGCACTGAATAGGCACAAATAGAAACATGCATCCCTTCAAATACGTGCCACATGGCTCTTACTGCCAAGGCTGTGAAGGTGTATTAGACAGAACAGTGAAGTGTCTGAGGACGTGGTATAAACAGCAGTCACCACGCAGGAGGTGTGGAGCTGGGTATTATCGCGGGAAGACTTGGGCGGGAGAAGAGAAATATTGTGAAGGATAACTGTTTCTTCCTATGTCCTTCTTTGAATTCTGATACTAGCAATGAGGACGGCCTCACGACTTGTCTTCTCCCCACTTACAAGCAGAGAGAGTAGAGGTGTCATGCCCCACAGAGCATGCTCAGATCGTGACACCCTACCCACCCAGCCCTTTTGTACCCTTCTGCCCTTGCGTACCTCCTCCTTCTGCTAGGACCTCCTTCTCCTCCTTTTCTGCCCGCTCACCATGCACAGCCCCAATCCTGAGTCACCGCCTCTGAGAAGCCTCTCTGGAATTCCCATTCGGGTTAACACCTTCCTCTGTGCTCCTAAAGTCTGTGTGCAAGATAATAGCAACTACCATTTGTAGTGGCTAAGGTGACTGGGCACATTACATGCGTTATCTCTGTACCCATTTGACAGGTAAAGAAACTGAGGCTCAGTTTGTCCAAGGCCACACGGCTGTTAAGTCACGAAGCTGGGTGTGGAATCCAGGTCTCTCAGGCTCCAAAGTCCATGTCTTTCTACTACACAACAGGCAGCTGTCCTTGCCTCAAACTAATCCCTTCCCAGGAAAGGGGATAAGTATGTGTTTCTCCATCTCCCCCTAGACTGTGTATTCCTCTAGGGCACCGCGAGTCTTACCATGTATCCCTGTGCCTGGCACATAGCAGATGCTAAATAAATGGTTAAATGAATCAATAGTTTGTTGAATGAGAAGCTTATCCCTTTATCCCACAAGTTGATGGAACACTGCTTCTGATAAAATCCTAGTACCTGTGGTTCCCATCCCAAGTCAGCACCACCCCCAGTGGAGAGTCAGGTCAGTTTCTCAGCTGGCAGATCCACATACTAACCCACCGCTTCTCCAAGTTTCATGTCCTATGAATCTCCTGGGAATTGTGTTAAAGTGCAGGTTCGAATTCGAAAGGGCTGAGACCCTCCTGGGTGGGGCGTTTCCTGCAGGCTTCTGGTGATGCTGCTGGTTCGAAGACCCCATCTGAGAGCCAGCCGGGTCTAAATACATCAGCAAGCAGCAGCCGTGCACTTTGGTTACCTGGGGCTGGTAATGAACAATAAAACCTGTCTCATGCGTTGCGCTCCTCCCAAAAGACGACCGGATTTCAAATGCTCCTGATTTTCCGTGATTTAGCAAAATATTTAAGCTATGCTTTGAGCTGTAAACATCTGGCAGCATGAACCTTTGTTTGTGCCTGTAGCTTTGGTATAATCACACCCTATCAATAAGTCACAAAGAAATGAGAGACAGGAGGCACTCACTGGAAGATTCCATTCCAGTGACAAGTGGATCAGGGGAGCGGGTGAGGGTTGGGGAAGGCGCGATGAGCCCCAGGGCATTTCTGCTGGGAAAGTTCCACCCTTCCACACTTGCCTAACCCATGGCCACTTTCCCGACTGGTCTCCTCCATTCCTGGTAAACAGTAAAGTGATGGCTTATTCATCTCGAGACCTTTGAACCCCACACAATCGCTTTGCTGGCATGCCAAGTCTTTAGAGGTCAAGCATCCCTGGTCCAAGACGTTTGGAAGGAAAACACCCTCTTTTCTGTCTCCTTTTCCAGATGTCCCTGGGCCAGCAGCAGTCAGCAAGAGGTGTGCCTTGTCTGAGATGCAAGGGGACGTGTTCGGGCTTCGAGCCACATTCATGGAGGTAACGGAGCTTGTCAGGAGAGGCTCTGCCTGCCTTCATTTCTTGGCTGTCCTTTCTGGGAACCCTGGTCATTCTCTGATGGGACTGCTTAGGATGCATGTGTTGCTGGTGGACTGGCTCCGGGGTGAATGCCTTCTTGCTTGGCTTAATTCAGAAATGACAGAAAAGCCCTTGAGGGGCCAAGATGAAGGAGGAGTTCAGGGCTTTATAAACCATTTCCAGGTGGAGGCTGCCAAGCTCAGCCCGGTGAGGATGCTCTGGGAAGCGGTGGACAGTCGTTAGCTGGTGCCTGGTCCACGCTGGGTAGACCTGTCTGTCCTGGGGTTTGGGGTATGGGCTTCATCTCCCCCTCCTGCACCATCATCCCCCTGGGGTTCTGACCAAAGAGTGCCCCTGGGACAGAAATAAAAATCACTGTGTCCACAGTGCTTAAAAACCAGGACCTGGTATTCACATCCAAGGCAGGAGGGCTGTGAGATCCAGCTGGACTTGGACTCACGGCGCTGTTCTTTTTGTTTTCATTGAGGACTCTGAAAACAAGAGGTAGGGCTGCCGCTCTGCACAGTCCCCGGGCACTATTCACATCAGCATCTGTGTGGACCGTGTGCCCTGGAGGTGTGCAGGGCACAGCCTGCGGGACCATCCCTGCAGCCCTGGGAGAGAGGCTAAGCCCTGTGGGCACGAGAGCTAAAAAGGAGCTTTTGTCTCCACTGCCAGAGGGTTGCCTTGGGCACTCAGTGGAAGAACAAAATTGGGGAGATGTTTGTCTCAGAGAAGTTGATTTCCGCTGTGAGACAGCAGTTACCAAAAATGCTTACTGAGCTGAGCTAAGTCTTTTCTACTTAAATGCTAAAATAACCCTAAGCAGGAGGTACTAGTATGTCCACTTTACAGATGAGGAAACTGAGGGTGGGTAATGGGGGAACGGCTACCAGAGGGCAGAATTCGGACTCGGGTCTGTAGGAAGCCCCATCCCACACTGTCAACCATTCTGCATGCAGTACTGCGGTCCAAGTACAAGATTGTTCCTTGACGCTATTCCCAGGCAGTCCCCACTTCGGAGGAGCTCATATGGTCTTCTGGACGCCAGGGACCGTCAAGGTCATCCAATCCCAACACCCGTCCCCTGCACAAATTCCTCCCACAGCTAGGATGTCCTTCCAGGACGAAGAGCTCCCCACGCATCTATTTTGGCCACTTGAGCTCTTTCTGGCCTTGAAAAGAGGCTGCCTCCCTATCGTTTCACCCCGTTGGTCCTGAATCTGCCACCAGGGTGTCAGAGAACAAGGCTGGCCCCTCATCAGCTCTCTGAAGACAAGCAAGGATGCCTCCCTCAAGAGTTCTTGGAGCCCCGAGGGATAACGTTCCCTAAATGCACACGTGGCGTCAGTGCAGTAATGTTTCCATTCTCTCAAGGACCACAGTCCCGCGCTGCTATCTGGCATCTGAAAATGGGTGTTTGATATATTTTGTCTGGTTTCCTAGTTGTTTATGGCAGGAGGGCAGTTCTGGACACTGTTCCTCTCGGCTAGGAGCAGAAGCCTCTCAGCATTGTTTTCATCCCACTTCCTCATCATCCTACAAGTTCTTTGAACGTCAAGCGAACTTGTCCTTGAGAAACACAGACTGCAGCTTTTAGGTCCTGCCCATCCAGTGTCACCTTGGAACAACCTTAATAGGGACCTAAATTTCAGGCTTCGTGGAGCAGTGAGGTCGCAGAGCCTTAGCAGGGAAACCGTGTCAAACCGTTTTTATGCTTCAGTTCTCATGTTCTCAATAGTTTGAAAGATATTTAAAGGGTCAGAGTGGCAGCCAGTCTGGTTTCATGGGAAAGTTTCCTAACTAATAATCACAGGACAGAATTCATGTGCTGACTCTGCTTGAATAAGACACTTCCCTTCTCTAAGCCTCAGATTTCCCATCTGAAAAATGGGAAGCTTGGAGCTGGTGGGCCCTAGGATCCCCTTCCAGCTTTACAATTCCATAGTTTCAGGCAAACTGTCTGGAATTCAATTACGGATTCACATGGTTGGTAGAATTAGAATGGTCTTCATATTTGCAGCACAGAATAAGTAGAATTACTTAGAGAGGAGGGTACAGAGTGAAGACAAAAGCAGACTTTCAGAACAAACATGTCACGGAAACGGAAGGGGAGGTCCCCCCAGCAGCCTCCAGCATCCCGCTTTCCAAATGGCCGTGCCGGACTCCCTGCCCGCAGGGGCCAACCTCACAGGATGCTGAGCTACGGTACACGGCGGAGGGAAGCGGGCCTCCGGAAGGCCAAGCTTTCCAGAGAGCCCAGGGCACGGCTTCTCCCTCGCATGCAGAGACTTACCATCATCATCGTCGTCATCATTCTAATAGCTTTATGTTTTAAAGGCGCACCAATTTCAGTGAGCAGAGGGAAAAACCCTGATCTGAGGGAAGCAGGGGACATACTATGAAAAATGGAAGGGAGACCACTGGCTCTGCAAATTACAAAATTTTACACCCTTTGGGGGTCTCTCTGGATAGATTCCCCCAATCTCCTCATCGCGGCACCCCTTTGATGTTAATTCTGCTCCTCTCACCAGGGTCAGGATCTTCATAGATGGCGGCGCAGTAATACAATAGCTGGGCTTCCTGTGCTCTTGGAGGGACAACCTATAGAAAGTCAGCCTGAGGTGCCTAAGTTCCTGAAAGGGACATACTCATGCCTCTCGCGCTTTGGGGTGCGTGAGAATCCCCTCTGGAACAGGGTCACGAGTGCCCGGGCCCAGATCGCACTCCAGACGCGTGTATCTAACTGGCGGGGGCCGAGCGGGGCATCCCCAAGTTAACACAGCTCCCCAGGTGATTTGGGTGTGCAGCAAAGCTTGAAAATTCATCAACTAGATCAGGGGTCAGCAAACTTTCTTTAAAGAGCCAGATAGGCCTACCCTGGTGGCGCAGTGGCTGAGAGTCCGCCTGCCGATGCAGGGGACACGGGTTCGTGCCGCGGTCTGGGAAGATCCCACATGCCGCGGAGCGGCTGGGCCCGTGAGCCATGGCCGCTGAGCCTGCGCGTCCGGAGCCTGTGCTCCGCAACAGGAGAGGCCGCAACAGTGAGAGGCCCGCGTACCGCAAAAAATAAAAATAAATAAAGAGCCAGATAGTAATTGTTTTTGGCTTCACAAGCCACATGGCCTCTGTCACACCTATTCAGCTTGGCCCTTGTAGCAGGAAATCATCCATAGACAGTAGGTAAATGAATGAATGTGACTGTGATCTTTATTTAGGGACACTGAAATTCAAATTTCTCATCATTTTCATGTGTCCCAAAAGAGTTCATAGGCCATATAAAAAGAGGTGATGGACTGGATTCTGCCAGTGGGCTGTAGTTTGCCAACCCCTGATATAGACCAACCCTCTCATTTTACAGATAAGAAACTTGCCAGGGGTCTGTGGTGGGCTAGTATTCAGGCTGGGATTAGAGCCCAAGGCCATGCCATTTCCATAATTCCGGGTTGACTATGACAGGTTGCAGAAATGGCCGTGGTGACACCATTGAGGATCTTTCCAGATGTGTCTGTGTCCCCTGCAATCTGGGTGCCTGGAAAGAGCGGGGTGGGACCAAGGGGGTGTCCGCCTCATCTGTAAAGTCTCAGAAACGTGTCTGGTGACATGAAGAGCGTGAAGAAAGGAAAAATAATGTGGACATCCTGAGTGTCTACATGAACCAACAGAGCAGAGAGCAGCTTCCTCCCCCACTTCCACGTATGGAAGGTTTGGGGACGTCAGAGGACCCGGTGGGACACTGGGCTTTCCTTCACTTCCTTCCTCGCCTTCCTCTCGCCACTTCCTGCTCTGCTGCTGCCTCCCTCACCCGGCCCCATCAACCAAAAGTGCCCTCACCTGTCTTCTTAAAGAATCCGTTTCCTCCATGACTGGCTCATAAAGCATATTATTGGGTCATGAATAAAATGCCCCAGTTCCATAAAACAAGCCACCCGTTCTCACGAGCACGAAAAGAAAAGCCTTCTTGCATTTGCCCTGTACCGTCTTTAGGGTCCTGTTCATCTTGAGAGATAATTTCTCTGGAATTATCATTGAGATCTGCGATTTTAACATGTCTCAAATGGCAGCCCACTGAATGTGAACTTGGACTGGAAGCTTCTCCTCAAATAACGCTGGAAATGCTGCCTTCTCTTCCCCTTAATGTCACACTGCACACCCGTGCCTTGCACTGAAGAAATGTGTTTAACCTTCTGTAGCCTGCTGACCTCCATCACCGCTGAGCCCTTTCCCTGGGCCACATCCTGACCTCCTGGGGGAACTGGTCCAGGCAGCAGAACCGCCCCCCCCCCCCCCCCCCCCCCCCCCCCCCCCCCCCCCCCCCCCCCCGCATCCGCAACTCCCACGTGAACTGGTCCAGGCAGCAGAACCGCCCCCCCCACCCACCCAGAGCATCTGCGACTCCCACGCGGCCCAACCTGATTCTACCTTATGTTATGGTTTCCAGCTGATTTTCTCTGCCTCTCCCACCCAAACTGCAGTCTCCTTGAAGGTTGTGATAGGGTCTCCTTCTTTTCACATTAGACTAGGATTTCTCAACCTCAGCACTACTGACATTTGGGACCGGATAATTCTTTGCTGTGGAGGGAGCTGTCCTGTGCATCGCAGGATGTTTACCAGCATCCTGGCCCCAACACTATAGACGTCATAGCACCCCATTGGGACTATCGAAAGTGTCTCCACGCTCAGCCTTAAAAAAGAACAAAATAATGCCATTTGCAGCAACATGGATGGACCTCGAGATTGTCACACTGAGTGAAGTAAGTCAGACCCAGAAAGACAAATATTATATGACATTGCTTATATGTGGAATCTAAAAAAAGGGTACAAATGAACTTACTTACAAAACAGAAGTAGAGTCATGGATGTAGAAAACAATCTTATGGTTACCAGGGTATGGGGGGTGGAGGGATAAATCGGGCGGCTGGGGTTGACATATACACACTACTATATATAAAATAGATCACTAATAAGAACCTGCTGTATAGCACAGGGAACTCTACTCAATACTCTGTAATGGCCTATATGGGAAAAGAATCTAAAAAAAAAAAAAAGAGTGGAATATGTATATGTATAACTGATTCACTTTGCTCTACAGCAGAAACTAACACAACATTGTAAATCAACTATGCTCCAATAAAAAGTTTTTTTAAAAAAAGTGTCTCCAGACATTGTCAAATGCCCCCTGAGGACAGATCTGACCTTGGCTGGGAACCACTGATATAGACCATCAAGGCATGCGTCTGGTAGCCCCACAGTCAAAATTTGTGCTAAATGATTAAATGCATCAGTCTCCTGAGCTTAGAAGAGAAAAGAAGGGTTCCTCCAGGCAGGCCTGGCTGTGAAGCACCCATGCAACTGCCCTGACACGTCTCTGGCTTAGGCCTGCCCCATCCCGCGGTAGGTCTTGATGTAGCTCACTTGACCTGACAAGCTCTAAATCGCGTGTGTTCCAGCATCTGAGACACAGCACGCCTGAGGGGACACGGCCAGGAAGGGAGGGGAGCGGTTTTCCTCTCACACTGGGAACCCCCTGGGTATCTAAACCTTAACAGCAGGACACAAAGCAGCCAACTGCTTCTGTTTTTAATTGTCGGAGGGAAGTGTCAGGCCTTAAGTCACTGTGAAGCTTCCCCAGGACGCTTTTTCTTTTCCCAGCCCCAGGACAAAGGCTTGGCAAGGGACATCCATCTCTCCAGCCCGAGGGGTTTCCTAAACTCATTCCCTTCCCCCCAGGTCCTGTCCACCCGTTTCCTGAAGAAAATTTCCAGCTGTATTTTAACTTCAGGATGAGTGCTAAAGAGTTTACAAGTTGCTGAAGCTCTGAGGCTCATGAATCTTGGGAGACAATTTCAATAATTCTTTAGAGCAGGGATTGGTAGACTTTTTTTTAATAAAGGGCCAGAGAGTAGATATTTTAGTCTTGGTGGGCCACGTGATCTCTGCTGCAATTACTTATCTGCTGTTGCCGCCCAAAGACAATATGTAAATGATGGGCATAGCTGTGTTCCAATAAAACTTTATTTACAGAAGCAAGTTGTGGGCCGAGTTTAGCCCACAGGCTGTAAAGACTCCTGCTGTAGAACATCTCCAGTTATGAACCAGCCTTTGCCACCCCAGTGACCAAGAGGAAAAACGTGCTGCTCTTTTTACCCACGAAAGTCACACCCACATTCCCCACAGATAGATAGGAAGACGTGAGTTTCTGACGTCAAAGGCCTTTTGGGCTCCGGTTACCATTTGTCTGCTGCTAACCTTTTCAAGTTACTAAAGTTAAACTTTGAGCTTGCTTTCCAAAGCGTAGGCGCTGCCAGCGGGAGATTCTGCCTCTCTTTTCTGGAGGTTGATCTCACTTGTCCCCATCCCACCCCCCAGGAAAATGTGCAAGTCATGCAAATGCAGTCAGGAGGACCACTGCCTGAGCTCGGACCTGGAAGACGATCGGAAAATTGGCCGCTTGCTGATGGACTCCAAGTATTCCACCCTCACGGCCCGAGTGAAAGGCGGGGACGGCATCCGGATTTACAAGAGGAACCGAATGATCATGACCAACCCCATTGCCACCGGGAAAGATCCCACCTTTGACACCATCACCTATGAGTGGGCTCCCCCTGGAGTCACCCAGAAACTGGTAAGAGAGCTTCCTGCAACCAAGTGGTTGTTTCCCTGCCCTTGTAAATAGGAGCCGTGCCATAGGTTCCTGGACGTCAAAGACGAGGTAAGAAGTGGGCAAGTTTGCAAAAATGGTAGGAACATAGCTTTGGTTTCGAACCTGCTCCTGCCTCACTCTGTGATCTTGAAGTGAAAACTGTCTGGGCCTCAGTTTTCCTCATCCATGAAATGGGTAGAGGTGTTCACGTGAATTCTAAGGGGCCCTTTCAGCTCTAGTACAGGGTTGCTCATGGTTCCCTTTAGGTTCCCCACTTCTGAACAGAGGATGGTTTATCGTTCAGAACTCTCAGAGTGCTCATGTTCATCCGTAAGTTCCTCATTTTCCCTCAGAGTGGCCTGGGATGTGCCCTTTGCAAGTCTCGGGGAGAGCACAGGAACACTTCTCTCTTCTCCCTAACTCCTGGGCTTAAAATTGGCTTTACACAACCCTAGGGAAGAGGCACCCAGAGAAGGACAAGGCCCAGAGAGAGCAGGTGACTTGCACAAGGTCACCCCGTGGCTGCCCACTAAAAGGACCCAAGAAAAGTCCCCATGCACAGGCCTCACCCCAGACCATTAAATCGGAAGCTCCAGATGGCAGGATCAGAATTCTCAGTCACGAGTCTTTAAACGAAGCCCCAGGTGATACCCCATGTGGGCCCCCTTCAAGACCCAGAGCAGTGGACCAGCGCCCCTCAAATTTCCACAAGCGTAAAAGCCATCTGGAGAGCTTGCAGAAACACATCGAGTAGGCTCAGGGCCGTTCTGAGAATCTGCAGTCCCGCCAAGCTCCCAGGTCATGCCGACGCTGCCGGCTCCCAGAGCACACCTGGAGTAGCAAGGACCCAGATGATTTCTACAGGTTAGTGAGATTAAAAAACCCTACCGTGTTAGAGATGCAAGCCTGACGCTGAATTCCATCTCTCCCGGGAGAAAAGGACAGCCTTTTGAGACCCGTGTGTCCCTGTCCCTGCGGACTCCCCCCACAGCTCCTGCTACGCCCCCTCACTGAGTACCTTGCATGGCAATGACCTTCCACCTTCCTGCCCTGGACCACTCTACGGCAGGCCTGGGCTCCCTAGGCTCTTGCCCTCCTCGGGGACTTTGCACATGCTGTTCCCTCTCCTTGAAACATCCTTTCCCGGTTCTCTGCATGGCTGGCTCCTTCTGCCAGTCCTATCTCAGACAGGCCGTCCCTCACTACCCAACCTGTGGAAGATGTCACCCATCCCTCTGCTACATTTCTTCTCTCTCCCAGTTCTCCATGGTTTCTTTAGAAGCTCTTATTTCGAGCTGCCATTGTCTCATGCGTGTCTGTGCTTCGTCATCACCTCTCCCCTACACTGGAGTGAAGCCAGGCCCACGAGAGCACGCGCATGCCTGTCCTGTGTACCGTCTCACTCCTCGCCTTCCACTGCACAGGGCATGCAGCAGGCTTGAGGCGTATTTGTGCCACGTCGTCTCCCAGCCAAGGACATTCCACGTGTGGTCTGGGGACTGGCACTGCTCCACAAAATCCTTGTGACTGGCCCCCGATCGGAAGCACAGAAATTGAGAATAAATGTTGGGAAAATGTTGTGGCACTTGACATCCAAGTGCGTGATGGCTGATCAGAGCTCCCGCGTGGTCAGCCTCACGTGGAAATCTCATGTGGCCTGAGCTACATTCTCATCACGTGCACTGAGCCCACAAATCATCCTGCAATCCGTGGAAAAAACACCAAACAAATCTTGATCCTTCACCATAGACGGTTCGAGCAGCACAGTGCTAAGCTGGAGCTTAAGAGGGGGAAAAACATCCCTTCTAGATAAAGCGAAGAGAGGCAAAGTTTTCTTGGGTTTTTTTTTAAAGCTTTGCTTTTTGAGAAGCATATTTTAAAAGAACAGGTCAGCCTGCATGAGCTCAGCCACCCTGTGAAGTGAGGGTTAGTTTACGTGTGAGGAAACACAGAATACTGAGCTGGACTTCGACAGCTCCAGTGGGTAGGCAGGGGCAGGTCGGGGGCCACGGGGGGCGGCACGGAATAGCGGCAGTGCCGGGTGGTTCCGAACGCGGGTCTGCCCTCCGGCACCCGGGCCTGGGTGAGCCATCAGTGGGTCTCCAAGATGTGAGCGGAAACTGAAGCAAGCAGCTCATAAAAGAGCCAGCTGTGGGCGTCAGGAACTGACTGGTGAAAACCCCAAACGCTTCAGCCCCAGACTAATCAGAGGGAGGCATCGTCGGGCCGTGATTAATGCCGGCTCATAAAACCACATGGGATAAAGGCCGCTCTGTCTGCCCTGCGTCTGGCCTGCCCGAGCAAATCACATTTCTGAGATTGGACGACTTTCTTCCCACTCACCCTTCCGACTTTTTTTTTAATTACCAAGTGATCAGGACTGATTACATTTTGGAAGTGGAACTGAATCTTGCTCTCTGTCACCCTTCCCAACCAGAATAAAAGCCAGAGAAATGCTTCAAAGACTAAAGTCTTCAAAGACTAAAGTCACAAGAAACCTAATTGCTAGTATGTACTGAGTACTTACTATGAGCCAGGCACTACGCTAAGAGCCACACATGCACAATCGCATCTGATTTTCCAACACTGTTAGGGCTGTACTGTTATTACCCTCATCTACAGAAGAAGAAACCGAGGCTCAGGGAGGTGAATGGGTCTTTGAAAGCTAGCCGGGAATTTGTGGGGAGGCAAGACGGAGAAGATGAAGGGAACCAGCATCCATGGAGTATTTGTACATGAAGGATATCAACACCTCACCACTCCCTGTGCGCTGGGTGCATTACTGCCCCCATTTTACAGGAGAGCAAACAGAAGCTGTTGAGGAGCGCGTGCAGGGCTGGCATTCACTCATACCCCATCCTCTGCTCCCTTACCTGTGGCAGTCAGCGCACTGTCTCCCACTGAGCCCTCATTGGGCCTCAGAATCCTACTCAACACAGCACTCCAGGCTGCCATGATTGACCAGGATTAACGTGTAACGTGAAGCCCATTTGCTCTCTTTGTCTGACAGCTGGAGAAGAATCAGAAAGCACAGAATCAGCACTGGGTTTTCTGATTCCAGAGTCTGTGTGTGTCCCACTGCCCAACCCTGGGAAAAGAGCATCCTTCTCCTCCACTTTTCTCTCTGCTCTTTTGATTTCTGTCCTGAAAAAGCCTGGTTCCAGGAACCTCTTCACCCAGTATGGCTGTGCCAGACAGCAGAGCACCAAATGGTTCAGAGAGTTTCTCACGAAAAACTTAAAACCTAAACCAATCTTTCCAACTGATCCTAGAAAAGGCATCTTGCTAAAGGTTTGGGAACATGACCGTAGTCGGCTTCGTGGAGAAACACCTGAGAGCTTCTCTGGCAGGCTCTGAGCACCACCGGCAGCTCACTCTGACCCGGCCTCCCTCCCCGTCTTCCCCTTCCCGAGTCCTTGCCAACTGATAGTGATTGCCTGAGGGCTGCCTTGAGGTGGGTTCTGAGACCCTCATCAGGGTTGATTAGCAATGTCTGCCATCAGCGTGTGGCTCGGGAGTGTGGGAGGGGCCTCAGGCCAGCCAGGCAAGGCCAGCCATCACGAAACACATGCCCGTGGTAGCCAGATGCTGGGGCCTTGCCAGAGCAAAGGCAGAGAGCCGGTACCCGGCTGGGGCTTTGAGGACACTGTGAGTGCAGGCGCAACCTCGACCACAGGGCTGACTTATAAAGTCGGGCAGGGAGGGGTGCAGGCCCTAGAAGACCAGAGCCACACACAGATCCAGGGACTACAGCCTCCTGGCACCAGGCAATGCTTCCACAGCCCCCTCACCCTGAAATGATGACAAAAGGAAACTCCCCCAGAGATTGGGGGACATTTCTTTTCTCTTTGCAAATCATCCAACTTGTAGACAGTCAGTATAGAAGAAGTCGAGACCCAAGCTGCTGAGTTCAAAGCTGTCTCTACCGCATACTAGCTGTGTGACTTTCGGGAGGTTACTTAACTTCTCTGTGCCTCAGTTTCCCAAGGGATAATATTAGTACCTTTCTCCTAGGGGTGTTGTGAGAATTAAATGGGTTAACATAGGTCAGACACTTAGAAGAAGGTCTGGAACGCAGCGAGCAGCACGTAGGTGTTAGCTGTCCCTACCGTTCCTCATACCACTCCAATGGGGGAAGAAAGCAGGCTTCCTAGAAGAGGCTGCTCTCCCATCAGCCGAATCCTCCGTGCGAATGGGGCTGCTTCAGCACTCAGAGTCAGTGAGATACTGGCCAGGTCTGGACGCCCATTCTGGCAGCATGAGCAAAGCTCTTGTTTCCACTGCTGCAAAATCCTTCCTGAGATTCTAGGAGCCGGGCAGACCCCAGGCAAGAAATAGGAAGGGCTGGCGGGGTATTTCCCCTGCCCCGCCCCTGCTGCATCTCCCCAGGGTCCTGTGCCCTACCGTACCCTCATCCATCTCCTCAGGGCCCTGTGCCCCACCCCAGCCTGCTGGCTTTGGGCTGCTGCTTCCCATCCTCTGTTGGTCCCATCCCTTCCCCCACCCACTGCCCTCGGATGTCCTACTTCAGACTCCCCCAGGAGGACCTATACAAGCACTCACTTCCAGGCCCCTGCAGGCTCCTAAAACAGAGCGGGCCTGGGAAGCTCTCCCACAGGGGCGCCAAGTGAGTCCTATGCACCGCAAGGTTTGAGACAAGGGTCTTCAGATCCACCCGTCTGGCCTGTTCTCGTCGGAGGCCACCTGCAGTTTCACACTGATCAAGAGAAAAGCCACGGTCTTCCCAAGACACAGCAGGGATCAGCCCCTGCCAGACGTGTCGTCAGCTGGGGGACCCCCCCGGAGCTTCTGGTTCTTCTGAGTGTTGGGTGAAGGGCCTGGGACTCTGGCCAGCCAGCCTACTCTGGCCCCTTTTCGGGGCTGCGGACTCGGCTGAGTGACACTGCTCTCCTCTTACTTGTGAGGCAGATCAAGTGAGGTGGCCACTGACTTCTCACAATGGCCCAGACCCTAACGATCATGCTTTCTACCCTGAACTTTGCAGATGAGGAAACGGAGGCCCAGAGAGGCTGGGTGCTTTCTTGATCTTACACGAAGAGCAGCAGCAGGGCCGGAGCTAGAAACCCAGATTTCCCGGCACCCCAGGACTCCGTGCACCACCCAGGCCATTTCCTGCGTCTAGAAGGTGCCCTGAGAGTAGGAGGGGCTGTGCAGAGGAACAGGGACGAAGAGGGTATGCGTGAGCCCGCAGGGCCGGGAGGTCTCGGCTGGGTCCCCCGGGATCCAGGGCTAAGCCACCGAGGGTGGGGTGCTCACAGCCCCCCCCCCCGCCAACTGCATTCCCACACCTGCCTCTCCCTGTTCTGAAAAGGCTCTTATCCGGAATTCATTTATTATGAAATTCAGCAAACCAGGCTCTGGAGTCGCACCCCCCACCCCCAGGTTCTCATACCCTGTTCCCTACAGACAGGCCGCAGCTGGGACTGTCCATTATGAATCGCATTTTCCATGTTGGTTAACACAACTCCAGGGTGAGTCCAGCCTCAAAGACGAGATATGGGGCAGGCAGATTCTAAGAGGGTAAATACGGCCGCAGCCACGGGGGCGTGGGAATGAGGCCGTCTGGTGGGCGAGTCAGGTATGGGTCAGGGTTAGGGTTGGGCACAGTGGTGGAGAACAGCAGTCCAGGACCAACAACTGGCCCTTCACACTTTCTCATGCTGTGTGGCCTCGACCTTCACCTTCCCCTAATCTCCCCGTCCCTGGGACCCACCCGAGTGTAAGATTTCTGCTCCTCTCACAAAAGCAAGCAAGCCAGCCAACAGAAGGCCATTGGACAGTCATCCACGGACATATGAATATTCAGGTGGTCTAGCATCTGTGCCAGCCCTGTTGGTGTGGCAATGGGACTGACCTGAGACCTGGTCGATTCTACTATTAGAAGGTGCCCTTGCATATTTTTAAATTAATAAACTATGAAATACCTTCTGCCTATAGTGATTTAATTATACTTTGCCAAGAAAAGCGATTTTAAACTAGATCGACTTTTTTTTTTTAAATGAGAAGCATGGCCACGAGGTAAATGAGGTAAAAATATTCAGTTTTGAAGGAAACAAAAATCCTTGTTGCAAAGCCAGCAAATCTAAAAGGAGCGTCTACTGAAATTACCCGATTCTCATCGAGAATGTGAATCTGTGAGTGTGACTCAGGGGAGAGCGGAAGCTTATTTAGGTCTCTCTCCAGTGTTCCCCAAATTCACCCCGTTTCTTCCTTGAGAATAATCCTTGGGTTCTGCAGAGACCTGAAGAAGCCCAGGTCTCGCCAGGGCTCAGATCTCTGCCCAGTGCTTGGGAATCATGGTGCTGGGTCTCCTCTTCCCCAGGGCCTGCAGTACATGGAGCTCATCCCCAAGGAGAAGCAGCCAGTGACGGGCACCGAGGGCGCCTACTACCGCCGGCGTCAGCTCTTGCGTCAGCTCCCTATCTACGACCAGGACCCCTCTCGCTGCCGCGGACTTTTGGAGAACGAGCTGAAAGTGATGGAGGAGTTTGTGAAGCAGTATAAGAGCGAGGCCCTGGGTGTGGGCGAAGTGGCCCTCCCCGGGCAGGGCGGCTTGCCCAAGGAGGAGGGGAAGCAGCAGGAGAAGCCCGAGGGCGCAGAGACAGCCGCCCCAACTACCAACGGCAGCATCAGCGACCCGTCCAAGGAACACGTAAGTCTCTCCCATCCATCCATCCATCCATCCATCCATCCATCCATCCATCCATCGGGTCTGGCTGAAACCGCCCAGGCCAGGGCTGCAGGGTCAGGGCCCCAGCCCCAGGCTCTGTTCCCTCATTCCTGCCTTCATTCGTGGTCATGATCCAGGAGAGGTCACAGGCAAGCAAACGGTTGCAGTGCGGAGAAAGGGCATCTGTCCTTGCTTGGGGGTGAGGGTAGGCTTGGGGGAGGAGGTGAGGCCCATGCTGGCCTTGGAAGAATAATTAAGAGTGCTCCAGGCCTTCGGGCTCTTCGGGGAAGACCTGTGTTGCCTTAAAGAGGTGATCATGTGCAAAAAAATGTGAAAGTCTGAGACAGCACAGTCAGAGGACTGAATGAAGTCCCAGGTGGCTGGAAGTGTGGTACCAGGGTGCAGGGGGGCCCAAGGCTGGCGAGGTCAGCAGGGGCACGCTTCCGGAAGGGTCATGCCCTCCGTCCATCCATCACTCAAGCATTGATTGGCCTGTACTGCCCGCCGAGCCCCAGGAAATCAAAGAGGCAGAGGACACTGTCCCCGTATTGGGATGCCATAGATTTAGGACTTTACTCCAAGGGCCGTAGGGAGAGGTGGCGGGCTTGAGATTCGGGCCACGTGGGGCTGTTTGCTAACTTTCATGGGCCCCCAACCCCTGTCAGCCAAGAAGCTTCATGCTTCTACGTGACATTTGGAGATAAAAGTCCCAATATACAGGGTCCTCAGGCAAAGCACCTGCCTTGCTGGGAACAGGCTAGCCGTCACCCGCGTGAGCCAGACACCCCAGGGAAATGCCAGCCCGAACGATGCCGTCAGCACATCCGGAAGGGCCGGGTCTGTCTTCTCTGTAGCGACTCACACTTGTTATCCAAAACCTGCGTCCTGCATCTCCCACCCCCGCCCCCTGGACCCCTTCATTTGGGATTGCCATTCAACACAAAGAACAAGGAGACAAAAAGACAAAAGAATGAAATTGATTTTCACTAGCGCAGATTGGTGATGGTCTTGAAAAGACCATTTCTCAGGAAGAAGTCACATGCCAGGAACTTCTGAAAACATCAGATCCAGTTACCATGTTTCATAAACTAGCCTTGTCCCCAGCCCTGCCTTCTATCCACCCTCCAGCAGCCATCGATCTTTAACACATTAGTACTGTGTAATTCCAAGCTGGAACGCAACATCTTTAAGTCTGTGACGTTTCCCAGTTGCCATTCCCAAGAGAGAAATGCTGGTCTGAGAACGTATTTTATCCTGGACTCAGCCCACGGGTTTGGACAGTGTGGAAGTGGGGCAGAGGCGGCCTGAGATCCCAGGGCCTTGGCAACAGTCAACTTTAGGAAATGGCTGTGACACTTTGGAAGCATTTAAACAAGACCAGGCAGTAAATAGGGAATGCGAAGGAAGCCGATATTGGTGGGTCGGGCTGGCTGGGAAGACAGACTTTTCCTTCCTGACCCGAACCCCAATCTTAATTAGATAACAAATTATGTCATTAGTAGACTCACGTCCATCACCCTCTCCAAATGCTGAGGTCCTGTCTTGTCCATCTCTGTATCTGCAGCAGCAGTCGTCAGTATAATATAGAGAATAGGTGCTGGATAAATATGTGATCCATGAATGACCGAACAAAGGAATGAATGATGAATGTTCAAACTAAATTTTGTTTCCGTTTTTGTCTGCGTCCGGTCTCAGTTGCAGCACGCAGGATCCTTCGTTGTGGGGTGCAGGCTTCTCTTTAGTTGTGGCGCGTGGGCTCTGTAGTTGCGGCACGCAGGCTTAGTTACCCCGCAGCATGTGGGATCTTAGTTCCCCAACCAGGGATCAAACCGGCGTCCCCTGCATTGCAAGACGGATTCTCAGCCACTGGACCACCAGGGAAGTCCCATGTTCGAACTAAATTGATCCTCGAAAGATGGGGACCACTAGGGTGGCCATTTTGCCTGAAAGGACGATGAGATTTCAAGTTCACATGCCTGAAGCGCCTGCTACGTGCCACGTGCTGTGCTCAGTACTTCCAGGTCTTGGATTAATTCGAACTGTTACCTGGTAGGTGGATTTCACCAGCCCCATTTTACAGGTGAGCAGTGAGAGATTCAGAGAAGAATGTGCTTGTCAGAGGCCCCATCGTTTCTAAAGGGCAGAAGCTGGATCATCATACTCTTTCTACTGCGTGATGCTGAGTTATAAAACCCTGCTTGTTATCTGTATTTAACTCCCTGTTTATCTCCTTGAAGCCGGGGAGCAAATTCTATTAAGGTAGCTAAGTAACCTGCCAGGCCATAGATGGCTTGTCCCCAGCAGCCCTGCTATTGGGCCTGGCTGTGGGCTCGCTGCCTGAACTGCTCTGCTCTACCCCAGGGGGCGGCATATCAAGGGGACATGGGTGCTGGCTGTCCTGTGTGCTGGGCTCCTCCTGTTCTCATAAAAGGGCAGGTAGGACAGTTACCACAGACAAGCATCAAGCACGAAGCCTGACTTTTGCTCCCCTGACGAGGGCCACAGACTTTGCTAGAAGTAGTCAGGGCATTCAACTTGAGAACCCAGGGACAGGGAGGAAGCATAGGACTGACACCCCAAATCCAACAGTGATTTATGAAAGAAAAGGCAGCAAAAAGAAGGCCACGTGAAATGTATTGCACTGGAGCTACGATGGTAACGTGTCACACTTTATCATCCTAACGGCGACGTTATTACTGTTGTTAGCGGCTACCATTTAGCGGGCGTTCTCTGGACCGAGGACAGAGCTAAGCAGGAGGGTATCTGATGTAAAGCTCCCAGCCGCCCAAGGGAGGCTATAGGATTCGAACCAACTCAGCCCCCAAACCCCTCTTTCCTGTTTCCCAAAGCTTATTCCTCGAAAGCTCATGGCCATGAAGCTATAAACGGGCCATGTGGCCATGTAAAGGGGACATCAGACTAAACAAAACGAAATGGGTTTCTTTAGGGCTGGACTTCTCAGAGCCTTTAGGAGGCCACGGCTGTGGTTCTCAAACTAAAGTCACCTGGAAGCTGGCTAAAATCCAGAGGCCTGGGTCCCACCCCAGACTTGTTGGTGCAGGCGGAGAATCTGAATTCCTAATGAGTCTCCAGGTTGATGCCAACGCTGGGGGCCACACTTTGAGAACCGCCGCTAAAGAGGGTTAAAAATGACCTTACATTTAAGCTCAGTCAAAATGATACTGCCGATCTGGTATACAGGAGGGTCCGAGAGATGCTAACGGGGGCATTTTCTAGATTTATGTGGCCCCCGGGCTTAGGGTGTCCGGCTTTGAGAACACTGCACAGCACTCTCGAATTCCTTGAACTCTCCACAGGGAGTGGTGGAAACACAGGCACAGAACGTAGCCCCCTGATCTATACCCACCCCGAATGCCCCATCCTAGAGCGCACTACACTCCACACTTGGTAGCCGGAGGCCACGTGCCCTGCTTTCTCTGAGCTGCCGGCAGCCTACACCCCACGGCGGTTCTCCCAGGAGCTCGCTCGGCTCTGTCCTGCTGCTGGGCGGCCTGTTACAGTCGTGCCCTTCCTCGGAGACCCTGGCTGCCAAGTCCTCCCCCCAACCCCAGGCCCCTCCACCAGACTGTCCAGACCAGAGGAGCATTATCGCCAGAAGGCTTCTCCAAGTCGCCTGTGTGGAATCCCCACCCACGGGCTGAGCGCTGGGTGAAGCCGGAGGGCGGTGGGCCAGCTGGGTGATGGGAGCAGCGGCCTCTGAGCCAACCCGTCCTCATGGCCGGGACTCTTCACTTACTCAGATATGAGTAAGGCCCTCCGCCAGGCCTTCCCACGGGCCCCGTGACAGGACGGGCGGCCTGAAATCAGCTGTGGCACGTCTGGGAATGAACCCCAAAGCTGCGGCCGCCCATGCCGACCTCAGGGCAGGTCCCTGCAAGTGTCATCCTGACCCTGAGAGCCATCCCACTTCATGAGGAAACGCCACGGCACAAAAATCCCAGATACTAACCAAGCGCTGTCACTCCCAAAGCAGGCCCTTTGAATCAGTGAGGCCAAGTAAAGACACCCCGATATTTAGCCTCTTTCCCTGATTTGCCCCCCTGTGTGTGCGTGGAGCGGCGAGGGTGGTGGGGAATTGTTACTTCACAGCAGGCTCGTTCATCTCTTTGAATCCTCCGAACGACCAGCAAGACAGCTTGGGGTCGTTATGCCCATTTCACAGACGTGGAGCCTGAGGCACAGACAGGTTAACTGGTTTGCCGGTGAGGTTCCAGCCCAGGTCCTTCTGTGTCACCAGCCCTGCAGGGTCCCAGCAGGGTGGGGACAAAGCAAAGGCACGTGCATTTATGTTTGTTGGGGTGGGTGGCAGTGTGCAGAGTTACTCCCAGCCCAGCCTGGTGAAGAACTTGAGGGCCTCTTGTCTGCGAGCCAAGAACAAGGGAAGGACGTGCCTGCCCCGCCCCAGTCCCACCCACCATGGGTTCTCGGGGGTCTTGGGGGCTTCGAAGTGTTCCGCGGCCGTGGAGCTGCCCACCCCAGAAGCCCAGACCATTCCACAGCAGCACGGTGGGGCCCCATATCTGCTTTCCAGGCCCCCACTCCCGACCTCTCCCACCTGGATGGATCCTACGGACACTGGACCTCAATGTTCGGACGGTGAACAGCTCTACCAGACCATTTCTCTGCGTTTAGAAAGTTTACTGGATGTTTTCTCCGAAATTAAATATACCAATTTCCTGGGCATGGTCATCCTGCCCAGGAATTTCCGCCCTTCCCTACACCCCAAACTTGTAACCAAAGAAAGACGAAAGAAAGCCAGGACATAGCATTTAATGTCATCTCCGCCCTTTCGTAGTTTTCATCCTTGCCGGGAGACCCCAGCTCCTGCCTCATGGGCCAAGCTGCGGCCCCAGAGAAAGTGATTAAGAGGAGAACAGACTGAAAGAAGTGAAGACATTGCTGGAAGTCCTAAAGATGTGTTAATTTGGTCCCAAGTTACAGTGTAACGCCCCTGCCCCCTTTCCCCACAAGAATGCACAAAGGAGGGACCGGAGGTGTGGGTCCCCTCCCTCCCACGAGGTGGGCCTCTCAGATGGAAACTTAACAGCCGCTGGCGGCTCAGCCCGACTCCAGCCCCGACAAGGGACATACTTGTGGGCGAGGGACTTCCAAAGCTTGGTCCGAGCAGATGTTTGGCTTGTGGGCCGGCAGGCTGGCTTTCCTGCCAGCCCCTCTCTGCGAATTTGAAACCACTGTGCGCCCCCAGGCCTGCAAGCCATGCCTGAGCTGGAGGACAGAGGATCAAAGGAAGCCCCCACCCCCGCAAATTGCCATGGTTACCAGGCTTCTCAGCATCTGCCTACCACCTTGTTCACAGGGGAGATATTTTAATGACATTAAAGGAGATTTGATTTGCCACAGAAAATTCCTTTTATCCTGCTTTCCATACTGTAAATACTTTGCCGTGTTGCCTCATAAGGCTTCACAACTATCTTTTTCCGCCCCTGCAAAGTGGGCTACGTAATAGTCCATTGACTAAAACAGGGGTTGGCGAACTTTTCCTATAAAGGGCAGATCGTGAATATTTCAGCCTTTACGAGCCACGAGGTCTCAGTCATACCCACTGGCCTCTGTCCTTGTGGCACTGACGCAGCCAAAGACAATACCTCAACAGATGACCAGGGCTGTGTCCCAATAAAACTTTATTTGCAAAACCAGGCAGCAGGCTGGATCTGGCCCCAGGGATGTACTTTGCTGACCCTGGAACTAGAAGAACCATAATAAATGGTTTTCACCATTTATGAATGACCTGGGCTTTGTTCCCTTTTATTTTGCTACTGGAGGTTACTTGGGGACGCTGATAATTCTGAGGATAGTGTCATCTGCCATTCGTTGACGACCTACACTGTGCCACGCAGCACGCCAGAGGCTTCACACGGTGGTTTCATTCAATCCCAAGAACTACCCGGCAAGATATATTATCCCCCTCTCTAGCTGTCTAGCTGGTGAGCCGTGAAGCCAGAACTGGAACTCAGGCCTGCCGCACCTCAAACCCCGCACAGACTCCAAAGGACGGCAGCTCCCGCTTCCAGAGCCCCCGTGTGGCCCAGACACCTTGCGAGGCCCCTGCAACAGAGATGACCGCACGTAAGCCTCGTCCCTACTCATCAGCATCCCGCTGTAGGGATACACTTGTCAAAGCCGGATTTGGGAACACCCCAGGCTGACCTTCTCTCGTCCAAGTGTCGCATTTGGGAAGCCTTCCTGGCCCCATCCTCCCCCTTCACCAGATAACCAGTGAGGGAGACGCGGTTAGAAATGCCTGCATTCTGCCTTGCTTGGGAGAGAGCCCCTCCTCAAGGACCTGCCCCTAGAAGATGCGGGAGACAAAGCACTGGTGGGCCCACGGCACTGACCCCACGTGCAAAGCAATCCCCAAGATCAGGGCCCACCGTGTGTCACAGATGCGGAAACTGAGGCTCGCAGATCCCCCCAGATGAAGCTACGGCGGGACCTCGTGCAAAGGCCGGGACCCTAACCGCAGCGCCTGCGGCCACCCACCTATTCTGCACCATAAGGAACCTCGGGAAGGTGCCCGTGTGGGGCAAGAGAACGCAAGAGGCTAAAGATGCCAGCCGTGACACTGGGCCAGAAAAGAGGGAAAAAACCCAAAAAACTGCCGATAGACGAGGCTGCAAAGCAAAGATGGTGAATAATCGCCATAAGAGGAAATGGAGAGATGCTGTTTATAAATAAATTGTTGAGTATTTGTGTTGGAAAGAACCCAGTGCCTGAATTCAAGGCCCCTGAGTCAATATTTACTGTATTGTAATGGTGCGCTTTTCACAAGGCAATCTGGGTTTAGACTGGGGAGGCCTTTGGATAAGGGCCTTCCAGAAAAGAACCGCATGATTGGAACAGAACTGCTGGCAGCCGCGGCAGACGGATTACGGCTGGTTTAACGGGCTCTCAGCATCTGCAGATCTGCCCCTGAAGGCCAGCTCGGCTCATCCCTGGAGACAGCTCTTTGGCTGTGGAACCCGGGGCCACTGTCCTGAATCTGCTGCTTCCTGAAACACTCTGTGTCTAGGTTACTTCCATTTCAGAAGCCTGAATAACTCTGCGTGCCCACGTGTGCTGCTCCTGTTACCTGGGGCCGCACAGCAAACCACCCTGAGATGCTGCGGCTTAGAACACCTGTTCCAAATCGTCTGTTTTCTCGCAGATCAGCAACCTGCGCAGGGCTCAGCGGGAGAGCTTGTCTCTGTCCCTGACATCTGGGCTTGATGCTTGGAAGACAGATACGGCTAGGGCTGGACCAGCGGGGGCCCCGGCCTCTCCCTCTATCTCTGTGTTTTCTCCGTGTGGCTGCCCTAGGATGCGGGTCTCAGGACTCCCAAGAAAGAGCCAGTGGAAGCTGTGTTGCCTTTGTGACCTACCTCAGGGATCTACAGCATCCCTTCCACCACATTCTGTTCTACAGAAGCGAGTCACTACGGCGGGACCATATGCAAAGAAAGGGAATACGGGTATTGGTTGGAGGAGGGTCCGAGAAGTTGCCGGCATCATTTCCACACCTCACGGCGGAGGGAACCCCAGCCCTGCAGGGTCTGAGCTTTGCAGGCAGCTGAATCTAGAATGCTCCTCAGCTTTCTCAGTGCAAGTGTTTACAAAATCCCGAAGTACAGAATATACGAACTCTTTCATTTAGACGCTTGTGATGAAGAATCTCTCACCATTTGAACGGGGCAAGACAGAACTTCAGTGGCACCCGGAGAAACGTCACATGTGTTCTACCTACGACAGGTCTGTGCTACAGCTCCTTCCCCCAGAGGGACCACAGTCTGCAAACTAGGTCACGAGGCAAAGGCTGGACAGATTCCCATGAGAAGGCTCTAGTTTTAGACAGTTGGGAGTCTGAATGAGAACCCACTGACATGCTAATGATCAATGGTCTTCTCTGTGCCTTTTAGCCTAGTTCCAAAGCACTTCTACTCGACCAAAAGTGGCTTCTCTAGAGGGGAAGTCACCTGGGAATGACCACATTGGGCTTTCTTCAAAATGGTCTAGAATTTAAGCATACCAGGAATTCAAATTGGCTTTTGCTGTCATGGAACCTAATTGGTCATGTCATTTTTGCTGAGTTCTTATATAAGGTCATGTTCAAACGCTCTATGACAGTGGGTCTCGAAGTGCGGTCCCCTGACCATACCAGCATCCCCTGGGAGTCTGAAAATTCCCCTGCCCCCTCCCAGACCTACTAATCAGACACTCGGGGTGGGGAGATGCAGCACTCTGAGCGGCCCTCTAGGGATGCTGGGGCAGACTCGAGGCTGAGAACGCTGTCTTGGAGGGGGTGGGATGGGAGAGGGAGAAAAGCAGGCCCACCAAGGCGGGCACTGATTGTAGCTGAGTCTGGGGTAGTGACAGAAGATGAAACTCACATGATGTGATTCTCTGGCCTTGCACAGAGGGAAAGAACAGAGATGGAAAAACACAGAGCTCATGGGTGGGAGGAATGACCTCTTGCCAAGCTACGTGCTCATGGTGCTACTGAAAGGAACCCAGGCCTCCAAACCAGAAGCAGATGCTGCCTTCGACGTCTTTGTCATCTTAGGAAATGGATTTAGCTCCTCAACTTTCTATAAGGAGGGCTTTGTAGGGATAACAGGAGATTTTCGCTAATTATTACTGAACCCTTGTCAAGTTCATTAATTCTATTATCTCATTTAATCCATGCAACAGACCTGTGATGTTCCGAGTATTATTTGGCAGGTGAAAAAACTAAGGTGCAGAGAGGTTGGGTAACTTGCCCAAGGTCACACAGCTAGCCCCCCTCTCAACCACCCACTGCAATTTAGAAACTGTAAACCTCCCTTCCAAGGATGGTAGGAGAATAAGTTTGTGCAGAGAAGGGCAGGACCAGGATCACAGGACCCCAGGCAGGCTGGGCAGTCGGACTCTTGGTTGTGAGGTTGCCCCTAGTGGCTGAGGGGCCACCAGCTGACAGAGCCGAGACACTGTCAGATCTCTTGTCCTTTGAGACCACAGGGAAGGGGGCATGGAAAATAGCTCAGAGGCCAGAAGAAGAAATTGCTTCCTGATGCATGTTGACAGGACTCATTACTCTGACAGCATGTTTCCATAAAACGTCAATGACACTGTTTGCTTAAAAAAGGACTGGCTACTGGTGGTAACAGGGTGCACAGCCAGGGATGCTGGGGGCCAAGGAGGGAAGAGACACTCCTCAGAGAGGCTCCTGACAAAGCCCATTCAGACAGTGCCCCCAGAGTTATCCCCTCACAGTGCAAACCACACCCCAGCACTCCAGAACCAGCAGTGGCTTCCCACTATCTCCAAAGTGAAGTCCCAACCCACAGTTCAGAGTCACCCGTGATCACCCCCAAACCGCTTCCTGACCTCACATCCCTCTATTTCCTTCTGTGGGTCGCGGGCGCCTGCTGGTACCCACCAGACACATCCAGGTGCGTTTCTATCCCTCCCTTTCCCCACTTCTGTGTTAGGCACATCTGGAAACTTGGAGTCAGGCGCCCCACTGATGTATCCTGGTGATACTCGACCAGGTGTGGTGGATGGACAGTAAGCCCCTTCTGTGTGGGAGGAAAGGGGCCGGAAATTTCATTCTGTGAAATTTAGAAAGACCAACAGACAGAAAATTCACTTGCTTCTCAAACAGCCCTCACCAGACAGTTTACACTTCTGGAGATGTGACAGTCAATGCACGCGGATCCATCACCTATTTTTGGTTTGTTTTGTTTGTTTGTTTTTAATTCTTTGCCACACGGTGAGGCTTGCGGTATCTTGGTTCCCCCACCAGGGATCGAACCCGTGCCCCCTGGTGTGGAAGCGTGGAGTCCTAACCACTGGACCACCAGGGAATTCCCCATCACCTATTTTCGGTTCAGACCCTCTGATGAGTTCCAGGCGAGCTGGGGCTCAGTCACATACAGAAGGACAGGGTTCACTTTGGTGAAGGACTCACAGCCGTCATTCTTGTGGGCATAACTGAAACCAAAACTCCAGCACGTTCTAAGGTACGTCATCATCAGGCAGCCAGGAGCAGTTAACCAGACACACTCCTCACCTGAACACGAGCTCAGCCACGACCGTGCTTAGGGACCACACTCAGTACGTGGACGGATTCTGTCATTTGGTTTTCTTTCCCCAATTGCCACCATTTTAATTTTTATTTCCTCTTCGTACACAAGAGTATATTAAGTATGCAGTTAAAGTATGTAAAGAATTCTAAGTGTTTAGGCTCTGAATATAGGCCTATTCATCTTTACACAGCAAAACAATAAATATCTCTAGTTGGGCTGACACATAATTTGTGCTTAGTAAGACAGAGTGTTCATCTCAAGCCGGGGATCAGTAAATGTTTTCTGTAGAGGGCCAGCTGATCTATCTCTCAGGTGTTGTGGACCAAGAGCCGGAGTTGACGATACCACGTAGGTACTTTATGTAACAAGAGAGAAAATAAATATCCACAAATTTTTTTTGAAATTCAAAATACAGTAGTATAATTAAGACAGGTTTCTGCAATACAGGCCGTATTAGCTAGCTCAGGCTGCCATAACAGAACATCGCAGGCCAGGTGGCTTAAACAACAGAAATGTATTTTTTTCCCCAGTTCTGGAGACTAGAAGTCCAAGATCAAGGTGCTGGCAGGGTTGGATTCTGGTGAGACCCCTCTTTCTAGCTTGCAGAGGGCCACCTTCTCACTGTACCCTCACATGGCCTCCCCTGTGTGTACACCCAGAAAGAGAAAGAGACAGCCATCCATCTCTGGTCTCTCTTCTTATAAGGACACCAGTCCTATTTGATTAGGGCCCCACCCTAATGACCTCATTTAACCTCAGTTAACTCCTTAAAGGCCCCATCTCCAAATACAGTCACATTGGGGGTCAGGGCTTCAACATGTTAACTGGGGGAGGGGCACCATTCAGTCCAAAACCCCAGTCTACTGTGAGAAGAATGGAATTCTTTTTTGGGAGAAAACATTTCACTAAATTAGAGTTCAGATGTAAAACCCATTCGACGCTGATGGTTCCTACAAGAACAGGCAGAGGCAGGTAGTTTGCTGACCCTGATGTCACGGCCGCACGGTGGAGCAGAAAGAACCTTGGCTTTGGGGTCAGGCTTGGCCTGTGTTCAAATCCCAGCTTTGCCTTTCGTCAGCTATTTCTACTCGGCAGTCACTGAATCTCTGTGAACCTGGCTTTGGCCATGTCTGGGGGGAAATACAGGTCTCCTTAAAAGGGAGATAAGTCTAGAAGGGCAAGTAACTCTCTCGGGTTTCCGTAAGGGTGTCAGTCGGGAGGGAAAACACCTGAGCTGGACACACAACTGCCCCAGGGAGATGCCAGCCAGCATCATCCTCGTCATCAGAGCTCTGAGGAGGTGAGAACTCCAAAATGACTGGATTTTACAGAACGAGGATGTCGTCTGGATAGGACGTGATGAGAACGGCCGTTTAGCTCTGTGGTCTTCCTCCCAGTGCAGTGCAGTCATGATAATAACATCAGGCGAATCCCAACTGAGGGACAGTCTACCAAATATCTGACTGGTACTCCTCCAAGGTTATGAAAAACAAGGCAAGTCTGAGAAACTGTCACAGCCCAGAGGAGCCTAAGGAGACATGATCGCTACCTGTAATGTGGGATCCTGGATCCAGTCCTACAAGAGGAAAAGGACAGTAGGTAGAATCTAAGCACATCTGGATAAAGTTTGGACTTCGGTTAATAACAACATATCAATACTGGTTCATTGATTGTGACAAGTACACCATATTAACGTAAGGTGCTAAGAACAGAGGAAAGCACGTGTGGGGTATACGAGAATTCTCTGTACTATGACGACAATTTTTCTGTACGTCGAAAACTGTTCTAAAATTTTAAGTTTATTAAAAATGAATCCTCCATAGGTAAAAGAGCCATTCAAAGTGCCAGGTGGACCAGTGGGTTTTAATGTAACCGGGATGAAAGGGTGGTTGATACTCTACACTAACTAACCTTTGAGAAACTAACACCTGTCTAATTTTGATGTAATGGCAAAGAAAAATACTCCACAGTTATCTAGAAAGGCTACTTAAAATGCCTGCCTCCCTTTTTCAATTTCTAATCAGTGTAAGGTCAGATTTTTTTTCATCTATTTCATTGAAAACCACATGATGCAAAAGATAAAAAGCTAAAACAGTTATAAGAATCGAGAAATCCTCTACTGAGCCAGTCATGAGAGATTTGCAAAAATGTAACCAATGCCACACTCTGACTCAATTTTTCTGTTTTGGAAAATATAGTTATTTTTCATTACAAATATTTATGTTAACATGCTGTTGGTTTACTGTTTTTTAATGAATTAATAGTTATTTAATTTTTTTCCTCAGTTCTAATTTCTTGTATGGTAAATATCAATAGCTATTACCCACATGAACAAAAACTCTTTGGGCTTCTCAAAAATTTTTAAGAGTCTAAAGGGTCTTGAGAACAAGAAGTGTGAGAATGACTGTGCTAAACAAGTATTGGGTTGGCCAAAAAGTTCATTCAGGTTTGTCCATAAGATCTTACAGAAAAAGCCAAATGAACTTTGTGGCCAAACTGATACTTTATGGAGTCCTCCCAACTACCTACTAGGTAGGCAGTATTATTATTATCCCACGTTGCAGATGAGAAAACTGAGGAACAGAGAGGTACAGTAACTGCTCAAGGTCACCCAGGAAGTAAAGAGACTGGAGTTGAAACTCGAACCCAGGTCACGATGCACTCCTGACTACCTTGTGTCCTGGGGCTCCTCCCCCACCCTTCCAGGTCTGTGAGCTCTGCAAGGGGGTGGCCCCCGCCGACAGCCCTGTGGTCTACTCGGACAGGGCAGGCTACAGCAAGCAGTGGCATCCTGCCTGCTTCGTGTGCACCAAGTGCTCCGAGCCGCTGGTGGACCTCATCTACTTCTGGAAGGACGGGGCACCCTGGTGTGGCCGTCATTACTGCGAGAGCCTGCGGCCCCGGTGCTCCGGCTGCGACGAGGTGAGGACCAGTGGGATGGGCACCCCCAGACTGCAGGAGGGGACCCAGAGGCCCAGGAGAGTGTAGCTTCGTGATGATGTGATCCACAGATAGGAAAACTGAGGCTCAGATCCCCCTTAACACTCTCAGCCTCTGGTTTCCCATCTGCAGAGTGGGGCAGAAATTAGCTCCCACCCCCGGGCCTGTTGGGATGGGTCAGACACAGAGGACCTGTCAAGTCTCATCCTTGGCACTAAGTAAGGGCTCAGAGGAACATTATGGGCTGCCGCCAGGAGGCAGACGACCCACATTCAAACTGGGCTCTGCATCTGTGAGGCGTGTGTGTCCCTAACCCCTGTGCTTCCGTTTTATAACTTACCACATGGGAGGGTAGCAGTGCCCATCCCATGGAATTGCTGTGAGGATAAATGAGATCGTGCCTGAAAATGCTTGGCATGGGGCCCGGGTAACTAAGAAGTGGAAGCCGCTGTGAGTCTTAGGGAATGTAATACAAGATGATACAATAAAATCATGGAGCAGTAACATAACACAATCGGACAGTTAGGAGATGCTGTGAAAGGGGTTCAGCTCTCCAACATGGGTTTAGACTAGAGAAACTCTAAGGTGTATGAATAGTGACGATAATGGCTATGACAATAATAACTACCGCCTGCATGCCTTTGGTGACGAGAAACTCACTACCTTCATCTGCGGCACATACGAGGGTTAGAAGTGTCTTCCTCACTTTAAGCCAATATCTGCCTCCTCCCACTTTTCACGTGTTGGTCTCCGTGTGAAGTTAAGACCCTGTAATCGTCCTACCTCATACCTGTGTGGGCAAGGATGTTACAGAAGGAAAAGGGCTGTCAGCAGGCCTGGTCCCACCCACCTCATTTCTGTGAGATCAACAGTATGCTCGCGGTAACAACACCTCATCCTAATGTGCTACAGACGTTGTATGTGATGTGCCGTGACATCTCACAACAGTCTTTCAGGGACAGAGAATCATTATCTCCATCTGACATTTGAGAAAAGTGCAGCTCAGAGAGGTCAGCGATAAGCAGAAAGCACTGACTTTGTCTCTGTTGCCATTCCGAGTACTCCATCTGTAGCAACACACGCGGCCCTCATAAAACCCCATGGGATGGGTAATATTTATATCCCCATCCTACAGATGTGGAAACTGAGGCACAGGGAGGTTGAGTAATTTGCCCAAAGTCATGCAGCTGGTATTTAAGTGAAAACACGTACCTGGTCCCTGTTTGACCCCAAAATCAGAAAGCACATTTAACCAGTATGCTGTTCTGCTCTCTGGTTCCTCACCAGATTGTACAGATGTTCCTTTATTCCAAGCCCAAGCAACTGGGCTTTGGATTTGGCCCAGACAGCATCATAGATGTCAGATACGTAAAACCTGTCAATAGCGGAGGATTTTTTTTTTTTTTTTGGATCCCGGAAGCTAAGATGCAACCATGACCTTCGCCAAATACTGTACTTACTGTCTTAGATTTATGTCAGATTTCTCCACTGAGGCATTGAAAGGTCAAAACAAGCATGGGGGACGAGGGACCACCATCTTACGGCTTGTCTCCCACGCCCTGTCTACTAGGGAAAAAACCTGAGCTGAACGATTCTTCTGCTCCCCTCCCCAGATAATATTCTCAGAGGACTACCAGTGCGTGGAAGACCTGGCCTGGCACCGAGAGCACTTTGTCTGCGAGGGCTGCGAGCAGCAGCTGGGCGGCCGGGCGTACATCATCTCCAGGGCTCAGCTTCTGTGCCCAGCATGCAGCAAGTCCAAACGCTCCTGAAGGGCTGTGCACCCACGGCTGGAATCCACAGGATCCCACCGAGAAGCACAGCCACGTGTGCCAAGGCCATCCTAAGGGTCTGGCGAGACAGCCAGCAAGCAACAAAAACAGTGATCTTTCTTCAGTGGATATATATACATACACACACATATTCTAGATTGGGTGGGGAGGGATCCTTGAGGGTCAATAGTTTCAAAGCCGGAGATGTTCTGAGAAGTCTTAGGACGCAGTTATTTTGTTTTTGCTGCTGTTGTTTCCCAGCTACCAACGAAACACATCCTGCCCGGGCTCTCTAGGAGGAGTTTCCCAGAATGCAACTCTGAGAGATCAAATCACACAGCTGGAGGATGTGCATGCTTTCTCGTGAAGCTGGGGGCTCCTCCAGGAGCAGCCTGGGATCTCGTTTGTTGCCTCCCTTTCAAATGGAATTTGAATCTTAAATAAAAAAATGTTGGCATGATAAATATATCAATAAAAGTTTTACGAAGTTCGCACATGCCCTGATCTCATTATTTACACCCGGCAGTCATTTCACGGCATCTGTTTTGCGCCAAGATCCTGAGTGCCGGTGCTAGCGGAAGGCACTGGAAATGCAGGTGTGCCTCTTCATCAATTGTGTCTCATCAGACTCCTTTGGGGACTGAAGGGTCTCGGGGCAGAACTCCCATCCCCCCAGTTCCAGGTACCCCCAGAGCACTGATGGAAACGAGCGTGTCGTGTTTCATGGGACACCTAAGAGCAGCCTCTTGAAAACTGGGGAGCAGCAACTCAGGTGTTCTCCAAGTCCCGGCAGGTGACGAGTGAGCCCCTCTGGGTGGAAGACCAGGCAGGGGACTCAAAGCAACCAAACAGGGCCACCTAAGCTGAACCAATGGGCGCCACATGGGACACGGTGGCCAGTGCAGGCCAACCTGAAGAAATATGGCTTTTAAGAGAAATCGCTCCCTTTTTTAAACGTTGCCAACGGAACACTGAATGAGCCGAACAGAATAGCTCTTCGGGTGAGGCTGTCTCTCTTTTATGGCCTCTCTGTGCACTTACAGTCTCCAAATTCGTTTCCTCCCCACAATTTCAGAAAAAAAGACCTTTCTTTTTCTACTGTGGATATAAAGGTGAAAAAGACCTGAGGCTTAGGAGCTCACAGTCTCATCACCACAGCCTCTCTTTCCTTTTTTTTTTTTTTCAGTCACGCCATGAGTTCCCCGACCAGGGATCAAACCCGCGCCCTCTGCATTGGGAGTGCGGAGTCTTAACCGCTGGACCGCCAGGGAAGTCCTGGCCTCTCTTTATTAAACTGCCCGTCTATTGCCCAGTTTCTTTCATTTCACCACCCACATTTTGCTCGCATTACCTCGTCTACAATACCTCCATTCATGTGGTTTGCAAGCTGGACGAAAGCTATTGCCCTACCCTTCGCAGGTGTTTTTCTGCTTCCAGCTCATCTCTCCAGCCCCCGTGTTTCTCTGCCATGTCCACCTTCTCCAAGAGGAGCTTTCGGACCCATCCTTCCAGGATCCCTGTTGCCCCTCAACTTAACAACCAAGTCCTCGTCCTGACATGTGAGTCCTTCCAACACTTGGCTTAGCTGTCCTTCTGGTCTTAAAACCCTTTCTTTCTCTAGATTTCGACTTCCCTATTTCACGTAAACATTCAGAAACTCCTTTTGATCAAGACCCTCTCCCCTGCCACCACTGCCCTGGTCTGTGCTGGGTCCTTGAAGACCCATTCCTTCTACAGAAATTCTACCTGTCCTAGAAGGAGCTTCTGAAACATAACCTGCTTCTCAGCAGCCCTCCCTGAAGCGCCAATGGAATAGGCACCTGTTCATTCCCTCATGCATTCATTCACAAGTATTCACTGAGCACTACAGAATTCCAATGCGCATGCTGAGTACAGGGGGTACAGCGCTCACAGAAAGAACAGTGCCCCTGGACTTTACAGTCTGTGCAGGAAATGGGCCTCGGGCAAATATTCCCACAAGTTGATGTAAAATTACTGCTTCTATGGATGGTATGAGGTGGGGTGGGGGTGGGGAATCGGGTCTCTATAAAGCAAATGAAAGAGATTGGACCTAATCAGGGATGTCAGGAAAGGTGCTCCTGGGAAAGTGACACTTGAACTGAGATCTAAAGGGCAATAGACGCCGAGTAGCCAAAGAGGGAAAGGAAGATGGTTAAAGATGGATGCATGGATGGCATGTGCAAAGACCCTGTGGCTGAAGCAGCACCAGTTCATTCAATATCTACTTATTGCTGTTGGAGATACAGTGGTGACCATGAATGGGACTGAAAGAAGATGGGTGTGGCAGGTCCACAGACGGAGGATGGATGCTGAGGTACAAGAGGGTCACCAGCTTTGTGGGCAACAGAAAAGACCTGCTTCTGTCCCACGAGCAACGGGGAGTCTTCCGAGAGTTTTCAGCAGGGGTTGGTGATGGCGGGACAGAGAGATTACAGGATACATGATCTCTCCTCTGTTGAAATCCCAGCGTGATGCCTGATCGATTTTGTCCTGGTGCCTCTGTCCACACCACTGTGGACAGGAGTAATGTCCCCCACAGACCCCAGTGGATGCCACCCAGAACGTGCTCCTGCCTTCCTGGTGTCTACTAATGACACCAACCTTGCACTTGGAACACTGAATCCTCTCTGACACCCCCCTTCCCCTCTGA